CGACACCACCGTTTCGCCTGATCGACACACCGATCCACCAATCAAAACCCGCCTTCCCACGTCTCCAGCCAGTGAGCGAACGGCCTGGTGAAGAGAGGGGTGGTGTTGCCGGCGCGCCCCTCGAGCGGGGATCTCCTCAGCTGCGGCGACCCTCGCACGACGGCCGCCCGCCGGGGTTTCTGTCACCTGCCGGGCCCTCCCTGCTTCCCTCAGACGAGGAGTTCCATCTGCCGGGCAGCGCCGTCCCCTGGGGAGAACTGAGGGGGAAGCCAAGATCTAGGGGAAGCCGCCTGAGAGCGGAAAGGGACGACGCGCACCCCCGTGGCATGAAGGGTAACGCACTGGTGCGAGCTATGGGCTCCCGCTGTCACTGAGAAGTCGTCCAGCGATAAAGAGTTTCACGTATGCTTCTAAGGCTGTCGTAAAACTGCACAAAATTACTCGGAGCTTGCTGTTTTAAAAAAGTGAAAGATTGACTTTCCAGTGGTTCATTTGCAAAAGCTGAATTAGCTTGTAGTCTGCAATTAACTTAGAGCCAAAGAAATAGCAGCATTAAAAGTGTTAGAAATGTCTTTCTTCCATCACCCTCCCCTTTAGAAAGAATTAGTAAATGCCAAACAGAGCAGACGGTCTGTTTTATTTTTACAACTAAACAAGCAAAAGGTTGCAAAGGAGAGGTACCTTCAGGAGGAAAAAAAAATAAATAATGCTATTACCAAAACAAAAAACCCACCCTTGAAACACCTTAAAAAGACATTGTAATCCACAGCAATACGCAGCCCTGAGGTACACATTATTGTCACTATGTTTTCCTAACACTATAAATAATCTACTGTAACTACCAGTTCATACAATTAATTCTAGTGTGTCTGCAGGTGAGGCTAAACATGAGTGTGACACACTTTTGACTCCTCAATTTTTAATCTTGTGTTGTAAGTACTGGATAACTTTAAAAACCTTACAAATATGCTGAAGTACTACAGAAAATACTTCTCTTCTGCAATTGATTTGTAGGTGCTTATACTTGGTATTGGTTATAACAATTTGTACCTGCGTTCTTACATTCCTCTTTTTCATAGCTCCAGAACTAATATTCTTAAACATGACTCTCTTTGGGCCTGGTCCTGTGAATGTCAGTAAGAAACCTCATTGTCAGTACTAAGTACTATTCCATATAAGATGCTTGAAAGACTGAGACCATACTCTTTTGTAACAGCAAATTAAATAAATGTTGTTGCAGGGTACTTGCTTTTCCTGGAAATCTGTTTATCAATATTTTGCTATATTTTTCTCTATGACTTTCACTTGCATTTAACCCTTAATTAAATCAAATATTTCATTCTTTATTTACAAGCAGTTCTCTAAGGGGTAACATACTCTGTGTAAGGAAAGAGGTGATGTATTTTCTCCAGCACCATAGGGGTTTTTTTAACACCCCTTTTTACTCAAACTTTCACTACAATTCAATGTAACATACATTTCTAAGTCTGTGCTTCACACTACTTGAGGGTAGTTTGTATTAGCACACTCAAATTAGCTTTAACTAAGGCATCTTGGGCAACAAAAGCAAAGGTGGAGCAGTGTAACAGGCTAGCTATCCAGTATCTAAATACGTAGTTTGTGTTAAAGCCTATTAGTTGTAAATCCATCTAGCTAGGCTGGTGAATCTAGGAGGCAAACATGACTAGAAACTGAAGGCCCCCTGTCAAGTGTTGCTTATATACCACTTATATACCTTTTGCAAAATTACAAATATTGTTTTGGTTATATGCAAATACTTTAAATAATCTTTCTCTTCTTCCTAGTAAAAATATGTACAAAATAATCTCCATGTTTTTTCAGCTCCAGTATTGTCTCTCATAGGTTTTATTATGATTATCTAACAAATTTTACCTTGTAAAAGGCCAGCTTTAAGAATTTCACCTCGTAGAATTCTATTACAAACAATTCCAATTAATATTTTTAACATTTGATATCAAATACCAAGACTACAGAGACATCTTGTGGCATTTTTTTAACCATAGGTGAAGATGCAATTTTCTTGTAGTCCTGTTGCATCATTTTAAGACTATATCCTGATTTTTTTCAACAAGGATTTTTAAAATAGATATTTTAGATACCATTTTTAAAATCCTGTGTTGCATAAACATTAATTTCTATAGGAGATTCAGAGGTGGTGATGAATCTGTTTAGTTTAGACTCCAAAATATTTCCAAATGATATCTAGATAGTCTTAGAAATCATCACATGCATGTTATTTTGTTAATGAAAATATATTACTGAGAATTTATATTGTTAAAGAATCTTAAGTCACTTATATAAGCATCAAGGGATAAAAAGTTACCGGCCTTTAAAAAAAATAAACAAACGAAAGCCTTTTGGTTCCTAAGCACAGTGAATTATGGCTAGAGCTGAAGTCTTATCTTTGAATTTTCTTTGCTATCTAAACCTAACTACTTAAGGCTGTGGGTTTTGATGGCTTTTTTCCCTCATGAATGGGCCTTACCTAATTTAACTGAATGTATGTGCCAACAAGTACATGTTTTTTAGAGAATGAAATCTTGGTGCTGCTCATCTGTATGCAAACTGTGAGCTTACTTTAGACATCTAACACTGAACTTAGTCAATAATCTGAAAATAAATACACCACAAATCTGGTTTATGTATTTTATTTGACAACAGTACAAATTAAATTTACCAGTATAATAAAAGCTTGTTCTGTTAATTCTTTCACTGATACAGAAGATCAAAAAAAAAACCCCAAACCCAACCCAAAACAACTCCTTCCCCCAACAAAGAAGCCAATACTAAGATTTGGTTGAGTTGACAGTTCATTTCACATTTTATAAGTAAGGTAAACAACATCTGTGAGTCCTCACAATTCTAGTTGATACTGCACAGAACAGAAATTACAGACGACCAGTAATTAAATGAAATGCAGTAAACGACCACTAGGAAAGTTGCATTTCTGGAAAGATCATAGACCTGTTTGTATACTCATCATCACTACAGCACAATAATTAAAACTTACTTTTCACTAGTACAACAACATTAAGCAGACTTTACATTGCCATTTTAAGATTTTGCCCTTTAAATCTTGCAAAAGTACTAGGAAGACTTCACTGAACAGAAATCAAATCCTTTAACACTGATAGAACAAGGGAAAAGAATCCTCCATTCCCCCAAAGAAACCCAAAGACTCACACCCAGAATCAGCCCTGCTGTAAAGAACTTGTCATGTTCTTCAACCACTTTTTGTTCAGAAAACTTACTACCAAAAAATGATAAAATTACACACCATTTGTGCAGACACCATTTGCGTACTACGTATTAGCTGTTATTGATTGCCTGTAGATACCTTTGAACTAATACTAAAAACCAATTAAAAGCTGATGCAGACGAAACAATACCTACTTTGGATGCCAGATTTGATTGCTCTCTGTGATCCAGGAAAATCTCTGTCTTTTGTTCTTTCCTCCATACCACAAAAATGTTCTGTAACTGCAATGGAAGAGGTTTGTCCTGTCTATGTTAACATCCTTCCAGAACTTCTGAGTCCCAATCTAACAAAAACTTAATAATAACTCTGTTTCTTGCTATAAACAAAGCCAGGGAATTCAGAGACTGATAGCAGTCCAGCCCTGTCAAATATCACTGTACCTTAAAGTACTTTTTTTTTTTTAAAAATAATGCTTTATCCATTCATTGCACATTTTAAGTCTGTTGTTGTGGCCACCAAAAACAGACATGAAAAGAAACAAAAAGTAAAGTAAATACAGATTTGAAAGTGTAGTTAAAAACCAAGTAAACCTGTAATATTACAAAATTTACACTCTGTAATAAACGTAGAACAGCTTGCTCTTATTAGGAATTGTAAATAAGACATTTTTAAAAAGTGAGGATTTTCTTGGGCACATTTTTTAACAATGTACATGCAGAATATCAAAATAAAACTAAAGAGAGTAGTAATAAGTATTATCCCATCCATTTCTTCTGGCTGCTTATCTAAGTTTCCTATTTCATGTATTTGTGTTTCTTATATTTCTAACTGCTAGGTTTTACTTTTCAGCTACTTGCAGTGTTTCAGCAACTCTTGGCAAATTCACAATAGCGCCTCATCAGAGATCATTTTCCACTATCTCAGCAGTAGCAGATATTGTAGACAATGGTTTTAGGACTATCTGAGATTAAGGTAAGGTACTCTTTTCTGGCTTGCTTTCATAGCCGCTTCAGGAACATCTCAGAATACAGAATAGCTTATATACAAACTTCAAAGGGGTTTTGTACAGGAGTGTAGAAGCCTGGACAACAATTTACTGTAGCCCTTCTGTAGTTTCACTGGGAACTAGGTAGAAGGAGGTGAGGAGAGGAGCAGGAAGGCAAGAAAGCATCTCAACATGGAACTATCAAAAAAATGCATAGACCTCATTTGACTACATGCATATATTTTTTTTTAAAAAAAAAAATCAAAACATAAGCACTGAAGGGTAGGAGTGCATTTTTGCCTGTATGTTCCTGAAGAACTGGTCTAATTAACTGTAATAGCTTTTCAGGTTTTAAGGAATGAAGATGATTTTATCAAAGTTAGTAAGAAAGGGGAAAAAAAACACCATGAAAAGCCAAATGGAAAAAATTCAGAGGCTACAAATAAGGATGGCCAAGATGCAGTAATTACACCTTCTCTCCTTGAACTCAGTACAATTCACTGAGTATTATTTAATATCTAATCGCTTAAATGCATTGGCTTACATTTTATTTTTGTGATTGGCATAATTAGGAAAACCAAACTGAGAAATCATGATATTAGAATATTTTAAAGGCATGCCATCATAAATATTAACCAGTTTATTTACACAGTAAGATCTCTGTAACAAATGCTCTGCTCGGTGCCACATTCCAGAATAGCCACTGTTAGTGTCTTTTTCTAAATTTCTTATATCAACAGGCTTCACAAACACTCCAGAAGGCCTTCCAGTACGCTTGGCTACCAGAAAATTCATCGCAATATCATCACAATTTTGAGTTTCATCTATTAAGGCATAAACTGCTTCTGGCTGTCTTTGAAAGTCTTCTAAATACCCACTATGAAAAAATGCCGCACCAATAAGAACCATAGAATACTGATCTCCATTTCCAAATCCAGGGTTCTGCAATTCGAAGCTGCCATAACTGTATACACCTGAAGGAGTGGAAATGTGCTTTCTAGGAACAAATCCCACTATATGCTCTGGAAATTGCTGAAAGAAAAAAAAATTTAAAAATGAAGATGAAGCCCACACTGTGAAATGTGTGTTAAGTATTTTCATAAGAGAGATTTATGCTTTTTTTTAAATGAGAAGAGCACAAGATTATTGTCAGGAAAGAATGAAATTGTTGGTATATGGTCCTTTGATCTGCATAAATGCTGCAATTAAATACAGTTTTGCAAAACTGACACAATATGCCTCATTCCACATCATGTAATCCCAAGAAACATGTATCCACAATTTGCAGCTGCATATTTGGCACTCAAAGTAAGTTTACAATTTCTCTTAGAGAGAAAAACAACCACACGCTTCCCTTTTGCAGCCTACTATCAATTTAAATAAATTCCGCAGTCAGCAACTCAGTATTCTTGCACAATAAGCGTTAAAAATTTGAAAGTTACAGATTACAGGTATAGCTATCATTAAAGAATATTTTTGCAATTTCTTCAGTCCTTCTAAAATTTAACTTCATAGCTAGAAAACCTATGGTAAAACATTATGATATAGTATTACTCTAATTAAAACCATTAATCTCAATTGTAACTCGCAAATACTGCTGGCCAAGGTGGAAAACATTACCTGCCAAACAGAAAAGGCAAAAGCAAGGTCATGAGCACTGACCAGTGTATCATCATCCATCATTAAAACAGCTGAAGGGAGAAAAAAAAAAAAAGAAAAACTTTTAACTTATCAAAAGATTAAATACATGAGCACAGTATGCAGCACAGTATTTGACAAGTTAGCTGTCAAACTTCTATAACCATTACGCTGAATTACAGAACTGAATTATAACTCCTTGAAAGCGGACTGAAAAAACATATTTAGATTTCAATGCTAAACCAAGGTTGCAGCTTCGTGGTAACTAGAAGCAAACCTAAGTTTTAGATTATTTGCCAGGCTGTAACAAAACTCAGCAACTTTTCATCATCTATAGTGCAGCTGGACAAATAGGTGTTAGAAAACTTTGAGTGTTTGGCACAGCAACTTAAAATTCTACTAGTCTTGTGTAAAAGTACAACTAAAATAGAGAGTTAGATACAATTTTTTAGTGTATGAGATTCATACAGTATTCTTAGTATAAAATCTCCTCACTACTTGCAAGTTCTAAGTAAACAAGCTTAATAAATTGCACAGGTAACATTCAATATGGTTAACTACAGAAGGAAGAGGAAAAGGGAAGATATTCCTAGATCAGAACTCCAGATGCATTAAAGCTTAAGTTTCTAGTCAGAATAAATCCTATTACAGTAAATAAAACATTTGGGAAGTTGAAGTTTCTAGTGTCTTCCTAGAAGTCACGGGTTTTGAGTAGCAAGGCATGTTAGGAAGGGGGCAGTAAATAGAATTACCTTTACTAATCATGAGTAAGGTCAGGTCTGTAATGCAACATATGGGGTTTTTTTCCACTTGAAACAAACAGGGCTTATTGTTGTGCTTCTCCTGGAAAGAGCTTAGGAAGAATATTTAGATGAACAGCTGAAGGACTGGGGAAAATACTCTTAAAAAGGATGCATAATTTGAGATAGAAAGCCAGACAGCTAGGGAGGGAAGTTTCTCTGAAGAGCAGAACATGCTTGAGAACTTAGTCTTAAAGTGAATGGATTAAATCAAGTCTTTACCAGATGACTGAAGTCCAAATTAATGCAGAGACTCAACAAATACATGCACTACAAATTTCAGTTTACGCTATAAAGGCAAGAGAGGCTGAACTACCTATGTTTGCCTGACAAAGGAAATGGAGAACAGACAGTTGCAGAAGCCCAAGAAATGCATTTGACATCCCCCTGTTTTTCCTTACTCTTCACTAACAGCCTGTAGCCTGCTGCTGGTGGTGGTGTGCATCTGATAACATAGGTTTCTTCTGCATTATCCACGTTCTATTAAGTGGCCCAACAGATCCATGACTTTATGACATAGTGTAACTCAAACCATCTCTCTTTTAGCATTCAGTTTTTACATGTGAAAATAGTATTAGTAGTAGTGATAAGAACTGCCAATTACCTTTTGTTTCCAGCTCAGGGAAATTCTGGAGTCTGTTCCTCATGCGATTTACAGTTTGAACTTTAAAGACAACAGGGACAGGATGAGGCCCCAAAGAATTCCACATTTCCTCTGGTATCTTCTCACCAATGTTGTTCCACACAACAATTACTTTATGTAGGTGGGGGATGGCTTGATAATGATTTAAAAGCTTTAGCAGTAAGTCAGTTCTATTATACGTCTGCATAATAAGAGTAAATGAATCCAAGGCAGACTGACTCTGGGTTTTTGGTTCCCTTCTCAAATTGGGCATTTTCTCATCTTTGATATTGGGAAGCAAAGCTGTTAAAGCACCTGCCACAAGAAGTAAGACAATGATCACCACAGAAGTGAAGCGTAGTAGGCGGATTCCCATAACTCTTCCTGGAAGCTTACAGAAGTGAAAATACCTTTAAAACAAGTAACAGGAAAGGCAAAGTCATTAATCCCATGTATAGTTTTCTCCCTTACTTGAGCAAAATTCCCACAATATTAAGTAGACTTTTCTTTAAGTAAATACATAAGAGGATTTTAGGACTCTGGCCAATTACTTTCAACTTCAAGACAGATACTTCTGGTACTCAGTTGCTATGTTTACCTGCTTTTCTCTTCTTTGGTTAACTTTAAATTTCATTATTCTGAGAAAATGAGCCTAGAGTAATTCTTCAACTCTAGATTGTTCATCATCTCTTATTTTCTCAGTACTGCATTTTTGATTGAACACCAAACCCATCCAGCTGAAATCAGAAAACAAATTTGTACAGAGATTCAGTATTTTCAGCATCGCAACAGCTCTGCCTTAGCTGGGAAACAAAAGAGAGAGAAGGTGCGTCCTCAAGACCTCCGGCAGAAAGGAGGAAGTTAAAAGCTCTTTCTTTTTTCATTGCTTGGGCACCATACACAGAAGGAACAATCTTTGTCACCGATTTGCTGGACATTTTGTCAATAGTTTATCTGCTCAACAACGGTTATTATGTGGAAAATATAATTCTGATCGTACTAACTGTGGCTATTAACACAGGTGGAGCAAAAGAAACATGCCAAATGGAGTAATGTAGGAATGAAACAACATCAGTAACAGCTGGTCTGCTAAATCTAGAACTCAGCGAAACCTGGAAACGTCAGATGCTAGGCGCGATGTATCAGCTAATGGGGGGAGCAGCCTTAGCATAAGGCAGGGGGTTCTGGATCCTCCTGATTTTGGAACTAAACAGGAGCTCTTAAAAAGCAGCTCCTACAAAGGTAGCCCTGCCTCTCATGCCTCTTAGGTAGCACTCCCCGTTCTCCAGACATTTATAAACTGTAATCTCAGCAGGATTCAGCAGCCACTGCATTCCATAGTTTGCACCTCCAATGTGTCATCCACATCTGTTCTTCCTCCTTTACTCACACAATCAGTATGAATTGAATACATGATGAATATTCTAAGCTTACTGCTAAACAGTTACTCATCTATACATATTACTCATGTTACTCCATTAGTAATTTCTAGGCTTTCAGCAGTGAATTCTGATCAAATTAGGTGATCCAGGAAAGCCCCATCAATAACAATTTTTGAAAGAGTATCCATGTGTTTTTTCATATAAGTTTTGATCTTTTTTTCTACCATGCTTGCCAGTATGAATGTAAACTATTTTAGTCTAAAAAACCTCTCAACTTACCTCATTGTTGCCAAGTAGGATTGCTTTTATCCCCTTGTTTTTACAGGACAGTTGTTTGTGATCTTTGAATCTGTTGGAAATTAAAGGGACTCTGTAACCGAAGATCAGCAGTTATCCCACGTGCTACCCAACATTCTTTTACAAGCAAACGTTCCTCTCAGTTGCTGCCTGATGTACATGTTCTTGGCAATTATGCAATCCCTTTTCCTATTGCTCAGTTGAATGATCATCTCTGCCTTTCAACGAACACTCCAGAAAGGAGTTATTACACCAGTTGGTTCAAAAGAAAACTACAGTGTATGTCTCTGCTTGTAAAATTGTTGTTTTGTACCAAGGCAATGTCTATGCGCCCCATCCTTAGGGGCAACTACAGAGATACAAGTAGGTCTCCAGAACCTCACAGTCTGTTGCTTTGTTCACCAGGTACCACTAAAATATATATTTGCTTACCACAGTCAGGTAAGTAGTCCCAATAAAATTACTTTTTCTAGCTCATCCCCATCACACTCTGCTTACAACAAGCTTACCAGATGTGTTAAAGGTTTAAGACACAGAATTTTGTTCTTCCCATCTGGTTTGGTAGCTTGGCAGAAGGGAAAGCAAACATCAGTGTAAGCACAAAATGGAAGGATGCACAAGATGCAGGGCTGCAACCTAAAAAACCTGCATCTGTTAAGGTTCCTACATTGTTGGAGGGATTTTTGTTCTTTTAAAACTAGTTGAACAAAAAAAAGGAGTTTTTAATTTTGATTTAGGAATAGCACTATAAAAGGATAGAGAGCAAGAACTTGTAGTTAACAATTGAACCTATGTGAAATTTTGTAAGAGTAATTTAGGTTATGTAAACTTACTTCTCAAAAGTACAGAGTTGCCAATTTGTGTGGATACCAATCTGAATACGTCCACACATAGAGGCCATCCCAAATCTGAGTTCCAATTTTACCACTGATTTATTTTGTGAGGGTGAAGAGCTCATTGAAACTATTTCCAGAAGTTAATCTCTTGTTTTGGTCGCTTCATTTTATAGGTGTAAACAATCGTGCCCAACTTCTAAAGCTGACCAGCAGCAGTGGCTACTCAGCATTTCTCAGGACCACCAAATCTTGGTCATGTGTGCTTTTAAAAAGGTGAACCTTAGATTCTCTTTCCCCAATTGCAACGTATCACAACACCTACCAATATTACTGTAACGATTAATTAGTTAAAATTTAAGAGCATACTTAAAGTGAAAGTGTAAACGTTGTTTACTGTGGTAATGAGACCTCCTGGCTTGCCATACATTCTTGTGTTTGCTCGACTGCAGACAATAGGCTGCGATGATAAGTAACGATTATGTTATTACATATTCTCTAATTAAAATAAACGTCTGTATAAAATCTTTAGAATTAGCATCATAGCACTTTCCAGTAAGAAAGTGCCGATCAGTTTTACCAATTAAGTTATGAAATCGCAATGCACGATTGACCTCTTAAAAAATTTCTTACGATACCCCCTGTAGAGAACACCTCTTCAAAACAAAACTGACGAAAATACAAACCCTGTGTCAAAATACAGTATTTTAAATCCTCATTCCAAGAAAAAGACTTCTCGAACGGATTGCCCTCTCTTCGTGAGCAGTACCTCATCACAGCATCTCACCACGGCTACAGGCAGCAGAACCGAACAGCTCCCCCCCGCTCCAGCC